TAGCCTTCGCTAGCCCACAGGACATTTTCCTCTTCCCCCATGCCGCCAACCTCTGCACTACTGGAGCTCCACCTTTGCTTGACTCTGGGTCCTAGACACTCTCAGGGCTGCCTTGTACATTCCATCGGAAGCCTGGAGACACTTCTGTTACGAAGGCTGCGGCTCAGTTAGGTTTGCGCAGCTCAACTAGGGCTGGCTTCTGTGGTTTACACAGTCCCAGGGGAGCCATGTCCTATGGGAACCTCTCTCTTTGCAGAGCCCCACCCCCCGGCCGCCCCCCACCCCCCACCCCCGCCCTGCCCCCACATGCTTCCTCTCCTGAATGTTCTTCTGCTTCCACCTTTCACGGGCTGTCTCCAGAGAGGGCCAGACATGCACTCCCTGCACCCCAAGAGACAGGGCACAGTTCCCAGCACCCAGGAGACCTCGTTCCACGGATTTCCTGTGCCTTGAAGGAATGCAATCTGAATCAGCAAATCAAAAACCCTCCACAGGCCAGGTAAGATCACAGGAAAGAGGAAAGCCTTTCTCTGGCCTCCTTTTGTTTATAGTAAACGTCCACAGACTAGAAAGTTGCTCTCTGAACCTTCACTAAGTGTTTGGTAGTAGGAAGCCTATTCTCTCTGTGCTGCCAATCCTTAGAACGGCTTTCATTTCTCGAAACTAAAACTCTGAGCCTGTTTCCCCCTTTATTTTTATTGCTTGACTGTTTCATCCATTCATATCATGAATTTTTATGTCCCCCTTCCCCCTCCCTCATTCTCCTTCCTCTCTTGCTGGCACCCTGCTTCTCAATGGCCAATTCCAGCCTTCATGTCTTCTTTTGTGTCTGGTCTGATAAGAAGCTACTCAGTGGGGCACAGGTAACTTCTATAGCACGGAACAAAGTGACACCTCTTCACCAGTAATAGCTAATTGCCCAGGATCCCTCTGGGAGGGGCGGGGCCTCATGCACCCCTCCCTCATCCAAAATGAAATGTTGAGGAGGTCCAAGCTTGTGCAGTTCTCAAGCAGATAACCTCATCTGTGGTGAGTTCATTAGAGCAAGGAGTATGTCATTCCCAGCCTGTATCTTTTGCCCTGTGTCTCCCCATCCTCAGCTCTTGCATTCTTCCTACCTTCCTTGTTATTCCTAAGCCTTGGAGAGGTATTACAGCTGGAGCTGAGCTCCATCAACACTTATAATCAGCTTCTTCCCGTGCCCCCCCCCTCCACCCCTGCCCCCATAATGAACTACACTGTTAGCCTGTGGACCAAAATAAACCTTCCTTCCTAAGCTGAGTTAATCACAGCCACGAGAAGGGCAGTGAGTCCACGCCGCTCTCC